TTTAAAAAGCCCTTGCCCTTTTTCTTTATATTTTCTTTTTTTTTTTCATGATTAATTAACTTAAAATTAATAAATCTTGAGTATATGTTTTTTAGATGTTTTTCTACTATTTTTAAAATAAAATTAAATTTTATCTAAAAAATATAAGTACTTTTAATGTTAACATTAAATTCTCATGTTTTTTAAGATAAAACTAATTTTAATAAAAATAAAATTAAAAATATTTTAAAAATTATAACTAAGTTTTAAAATTTTAAAATCTTGCTATAATTTGCTAAACTAGGCATACAAATTTTTTGGAAGGATGTGCAGGGAGCTTTAGTTAAACTATGTAAAATGAAGATTAAAAAAAAAATCATAAATGCATATTGTTTGGAGCTTAAAATGGGTTAGATTAAACCAAATTTTGGTGTTTAAAAGAACATGTTTAGTTTTATTTAACATGTTTTTAAATTTTTTAATAAATTTTAAAAAATATTAAAATATTTTTATTCTTATTTCGATTAGCTTATTATTAAATTTATAAATTAATTTTCATAAAAAATATCGTGAATAAATATTTATTATATTATATATCTAAACATGCCTTTTATATTTAAACACTTCACACTAGTTTTCTAAATTTATATAAGATAAGATATAAGGCTTAGAATTATTTGCAAGTCCAATCTAACCTTCTCTGAAAGTTTGTCTTGGCCTAGGATTTAGTTTATTAAAATTTTATTTTATAATAAAATCTTTAAACAAGTTAATAAATAATTTAAAAATGACATTTTTTAAAAGTGTGGCTAGTAGTTCTGATTTCCCTTCCTCTTACATTTACACATCAATTTTTTCTTCTGTGTCTGTAATGAGAGAATAAGTAAGAAAGTGAAGACCCGTTAATTTCAAACATTCAAGTTTATATAATTAATCAAGATTATTTTTAAAATATATTTTGATAATTTATTTATGATTAGTGATAGATTATTCGTTCTTTTCGCTATCAAACTTTTAATTTGATACCCTGTTAAGTAATTACTTTTTTCATATCAACAAAACATGTCAATATTTTACTATACATTATTTAATTCATTGCTGAAGGTAAGGTTAGGCAGAACCTATGGTGAGCCTATCTTCTACTTATAGAAAAGAATAGCAATTCCAGGTAAAATACAAGGATTTGAAAGCACTGTAAGGAATATTTTAACCATTGTTTTTGTTTTTATCCAAAAATGCAACTTCATTAATAAAAGATGAGTACCAACCATATTCAACAAAGTACATAAATAAAGCTAATAAAATATCATTCATATGTGTTCATAACTATCACCTATCTATCCCCTTCATATATCAAGAAGTAGAACAACCAAGATTCATCCTAAGCATAGCCTACTAGAATTACAAAGGAATAACATGAGTCATGACATAGCTAGTATACATGTCATTGTTACAATTTAAGTTTGAGAAACATTAAAGATACTTTTTTTTAACACATTTTTAGTTATTAAGATTTACGAAAAATATATGAAAAATTGAATTAAAAATAGAAATCATTTAATTAAATAATTTTTGAGTTTTGTGATTTTTGATAAATTTTACTCAATAAATATAAGTATATTAAAAAATGTGTTAAAAAATTGTTATTAACATCTTTTTTAAGTTTTACAGGTTTCTGTAGATTTTCTGAGGTGACCAGTATATTATTTTTATTTATCGTAACGTCCAAATAATAATAAACCATTACTGCACTCAAAGTCAAGAATGTCGGAAGTGAACCTTTTATTTGGCAATACCATTTTAAAACCAAGTCAAGAATAACACTTTTGCCATATTCTAACCATTATACATGGACGAGGGGTTAGATGAGATTACAGAAAATTAATACATTTAAAAGATTTATGAACAAATTCATTAAAAACAAAAAAACACAACCCATTTACTTAGAAAGTTTTAATGTTACAAACCTAAACAAAAACAATGCATGACATATTATTTATAATTATAATTTTATTTTCTCAAATGCATCCATTTGATTTAGAAAAAAAAAAAACTAAATTCTAAAACTATCATTTATTAAAATTTATCAAAGGTGTAATTTTAATTAATAGTTATGTATGGTGTGAATGAATCTTGTCTTTTATATACTTAAAATTTGTGACTCTTCTTACTTTATTATAATTAGATATAAATCTGTGTGATATACGGATGTTATAAAATTATAAAATTTGTATGATTTAATATATAAAAATTCTTTTAACAATATTTTGTTAACGCATAAAATAATAAGTAAAACATACAAAAATTGTAGTTGATCTCATTGCTTGACACTTTAATATGCTTTTAGAGAATAATAATGTGCTTTTATATCTAATGAAGAACTTTACATTTTTTAATCTAATTTCTAATGTTATGTTTGAGTGTTATTTGACATATTATAAGTATGGATTAAATGAAATCATGTTGAATATATTGTATTTAAAGAAAAGATACAATATTAACAAAGAAAATTATGTATTAACAAAAAGAAAGAAAAGAAAGAAAAGAAGGAAAAGATACAAACTAACGCCAGGTAGTATGAACATGTGAATAAATAGTTATAAACTTACATCAAATATATCAATTTTAAAATAGTTATTAACATTTTCTTTGTCAACTTTTTAGTGCCTAAGTTTCACAAATTTATAGAAATAGAATAAGTATTTTATTTTAAATATATAATAAAAAATTATTTTTAACAAAACTTAATCTATAACCATATAAAATGTAAAATAATTTTTTTTTATACATATAACACATAAACATTCATAGAAAATTCAGAAGTTTATATAAAAAAATAAAGAAATGATTTTAAAATTTAGAATGAAATTAATAAAAAATAAATAAAATTAAAAGTTAAACAAGAAATAGTGTAACAACAAATAATGTAGTTTATACATATTTTTAGTCAATTTTAATATTAGAAATACCCTTACTCATTGTCAAAGCCTAATAGAGTAGATAATGGTTTAGAGTTCATGTCTATGAAATTTTGTTTTTAAATTCATGAAATTAATCCTCCAACATCTTTCATTCTCTAAATAAGAGAGTCTCTTTGTGATAAGCAACCTCTAACACGACTAAAATATGAAAATTACAGATAAATTTATAGATAAATTTTTAAACACTTAATGAATTTTATCTTTACAAACAGATTAGAGTCATCTATAATTTTTTTATTAGTAAATAAATACAAACAAGTTTTTGAATCCATTTGTAAGTTATAAATGAATTTTTTTTGTCTATAATTTATTTGCAATATTTATATTTATTTTTTATTTTTATTTACTTGTATAATTATTTTTTACTATTTCTAATTATTACAATTTATAAATATAATGAAATTATAAAATTATAAATTAAAATTAAAAAATTATTTTAAAAATATTAAATTAAAATATCATTACAAAGACTACATAACACATTTTGCGTGTTTCTATTAGTGTAATATGATAAAAAGACTATATATTGTCTGCATAAGTACATAGAATCCTCTTTCTCAATACCTTTCATACTCTCGTCTTTCATCTACTCATTGTGCTTTTCTAGCTAACATCGCAAGCCACGGAGAACCTTACTTATATGATCATGCTATCCTTGATTCACATTGGCCGGAAGCAATATAAACAAAATTAGAAGCATTACAGCAAAATAATACGTGGAGTTTGGTTTTTCTCTTTGCTAGTGTACGTTATCAATGGATTTACAAAATAAAATATAAATCTGATGGCTGATAGACGATGCTAAGTTATAATCAAAACAACTAAGTTTCTTTAAGAATTTTACAATATAGATACACATATTCAGTTAAATTCAACTTTAGGTTCATTAGTAGAGCAAATAAAGTTTGAGAATTTGAAAACTTTGAATAAATTGAATTAAAGTTACAAATGAAATTAAAGTGAATAAAAATAGATTAAGAAATATCAACACATCAAATCTCAAATGCCTAAATTCTAATTATCACAGCATCTAAAAGTTTTAATCCAAGTTTGAATGATTACCCGATTTAATTATTAATTCAATCGAATAACCTAATTAAACTAATCACGAATTAAATCATATTATCATTTAATCTAATAAGAATTAATTATCAAATCAGAATATCAATTGAGTATTAATTTAAATTTTAATCACAGAAAAGTTAATTACAATCACAATACACAAATATAATATTAGAGAAAAAGAGAATAAACTCAGAACAATTTGGCTCAAAACTCAAATAAGATTTACACCATCTGAATTCTTCGAATTGAATGAGATGTTTAGCTTTCTATTAAAACACTTAACTCAAACGAGAATGAGAAAATTTGAGAGAAGATAAAAACAAAGATTTTTATTAACGACCAAATCTCCAAAAACTTAAAGTGTATAATAGCATATTGATACTTGTATCTTCTAAACAAAAATTATTTAAATTATAATAAGGGTGTTACATATTTTATGCTCTTGTATACATAAAACAATTATAACCTTTAATTTAGTAGTGAAGTTAGTGGTGTATTTAGGAAAGACGTAAATATTCTTTAATATATCCCTTTCAAGTTTAGAGTACCGTAGCAAGCATCATTTTAAAATGCAGAAAAATTATAGTATGCTTATTGTAAACATTGTTAGGTTGATTTCTTCCATTTTTATAAATGTTGGATCCGTGCTTTGTTCAATGAATCCTAAGAACGTATTACTAATTAATAAAGTTTCAATGGAAAATTGCATACTAAAACTCAATGTGTCAATATTCCACATATAATTGAATGAACAAATACATAGTTTCAAATAGATTCTAGTTTATATTGTATTACATATATTTTATTTTTCCAACGTTGTTATTGTTGCTGAAGCTTTCTCGCGATCCATACTGGTAAGAACATTATGGAATCCTGTACACATAATAAAAAAATGTTAAGAATAATTATAAAAGTATAAGTAAATGTGCATGCATTTGTGAAGAGAAAATAGAAGAATGATAGATAGAGATTAATTTACGTGTTGCAATCGACTGATGGGTCAATAGGAAAAGGAAGAGTAATTTTGCAAAGTTGAGGGAGTTGTTTTGCTTTCTGAGGATTGACACCAATTTGGGAAGCAGCGTTCTTAATGCATTTGCACAAATCCCTTCGAAATTGAGTGGTGTCGCCCAGTTGAATAATACCGGTTAGTCCTGCACAACACGAAGCTGATATTTCTGCAGAACCAACCAAATATGGTTGACAAGGAGTAAACAACGGTAGAGCCTCCTTGCATACGCTGTCATCAGTTTGGCTTCTGGAAAATGTTGATAGCATCAAACATAAAGCCATCATAGGCACAACAAGATTCATCATCTTCATCATTTTGTTCGAATGTGTATGTATTTTTCTTTAGAGTTTCAAGTTGTGATGACCCCTAAGAAGCATGATTGAATTTATAGCTAAGTTGTCATTTGTTGTATGGTAAAGGGTAAATGCATAATAATTTCTTTCCTTTTATTTGTTGGGCTGAAATTAAATTTTATTTTCCTGACATGCTCAAAGTTATCCATTTCTACAACATTTCTTATATATTTGGAAGAAAATTTGCTTTCATAATTACATTAATATTAATTTATTAATAATATTTATTCTTACAATAATGGTTTAATTTAAATCAGTTAAATGCATTTATCTCTAATTTACAGTTTTGATATATTAGATACAATATTTAAAGTGTTTTGAATGATGTAATTTAAATCAATTAAATACATTTATTTCTAATTTACAGTTTTGATATATTCAAAATCTGCAACGTTTAAAATATTTTTAAATTTTAATATTAATATTTATTTTAAATTTTACTGCTGGAAACTAATAGCTAAGTTGTCATTTGTTGTATGGTAAAGGGTAAATGCATAATAATTTTCTTTCCTTTTATTTGTTGGGCTGAAATTAAATTTTATTTTCCTTACATGCTCAAAGCTATCCATTTCTACAACATTTCTTATTTATTTGGAAGAAAATTTGCTTTCATAACTGTATTAATATTAATTTATTAATAATATTTATTATTTATTCTTGCAATAATGATTTAATTCAAATTAATTAAATGTATTTATCTTTAATTTACAGTTTTGATACATTTGAGAGGTGCAACATTTAAGGCATTTTGAATGATGTAATTCAAATCAATTAAATACATTTATCTCTAATTTCCAGTTTTGATATATTCAAAATGTGCAACACTTAAAATAGTTTTGAATTTTAATATTAATATTTATTTTAAATTTTACTATTGGAAACTAATAGCTGATAAATTAAGAAATTTTTTTAAAATTTAAATTAATTTTACTATAAAATAAAAAAATATCTTTTTTAATTTATATTAAGTTTATTATAATAATAAAAACTTTCTTTTTAAATTAATATCAATATGAAAAAAATAACTTTATAAAGTTAATATTATATTACTTTTTTCGAAATAATTAATATTTTTATTTGTAATAAGATTAATATATACTAATTAATTTTAAACTTTAAAATAATTTAAACATTATCATAAAAATTTTATAAAGTTATTTTTTTATTTTATAATTAATAATTATAATATTATATTATGACACAATAACTTATCCGTGTCTTTCATTGTATTTTTCAAATTTTAAAGTAAGAAAGAAATTATATTTTATTTGGTATATACAGGAAAATTATTGGTTGTTTGTTTAAAATAAAATTCTTTCAAAATGACACATACTATTTCAATGTTTTCTGAAATACGACCTGAGAAAGTGGATTGAAGGATAATGGTTCGAATAATTCATTTTAGTTTTCTTATGAGTTTAAAAATAAAAGTCAAATCTACAGGATAAACATGATTTTAGTTGATAAAAAAGTGAAGCTATTAAATTTTTTTAGTCAAAGTGCATAATTTTTTTTATTATTTAATTCCTTCATCTTCTCTCATTATTTTAGAATTCAAGAATTCATTACATTATTAGGAATGATATTATATCAGGTTATAAAAAATTACTCAATGAAGAAAGTGTGTATATCATGAAAAATTATATATTAATTACTCTTAAACAGAATATGTAAACCACTAAACACAAATGAAAATAAAATTTGATAGCAACCATAGCGTTTCATAGGTCAAATGTGATATATATATATATAGTTTTAAAATTTTGCTCACTTTCATTTATTTAGATTTTATAATACACAAATTTTTTTTTCTATATTTATCTACTTTCACTTATTTTAAATCATATCACATTAATACTTGTATCTTCTAAATAGAGAAATTATTTAAATTATAATAAGGGTGTTACATATTCTATTCTCTTGTATCCATAGAACAATCATAACCTTTGATTTAGTAGTAAAGTTAGTGGCAGATTTGAAAAAACATAAATATCCTTTAATATACTTCTTTAAGTTTAGAGTACCTCAGCAAACATTATTTTAAAAATGCAGAAAAATTACAGTATGCTTATTGTAAACATTGTTAGGTTGATTTCTTCCATTTTTATAAATGTTGGATCCGTGCTTTGTTCAATGAATCCTAAGAACGTATTACTAATTAATAAAGTTTCAATGAAAAATTGCATACAAAAACTCAATGTGTCTATATTCCACATATAATTGAATGAACAAATACATAGTTTCAAATAGATTCTAGTTTATATTGTATTACATATGTTTTATTTTCCCAACGTTGTTATTGTTGCTCAGGCTTTCTCGCGATCCGTACTCGTAAAAGTATTATGGAATTCTGTAGACATAATAAGAAAATGTTAAAGAATAAGTATAAAATTAAAAGTAAATGTGCATGTATTTGTGAAGAGAAAATAGAAGAATGATAGACAGAGATTTACGTGTTGCAATCAATGGATGGGTCAATAGGAAATGGAAGAGTAATGTTGCAAAGTTGAGGGAGTTGTTTTGCTTTCTCAGGATTGACGCCAATTTGGGAAGCAGCGTTCTTAATGCATTTGCACACATCCCTTCGAACTTGAGTGGTGTTGGCCCTTTGAAAAATGGTGTTTACTCCTTCACAACAAGTAGATGATACTTCTGCAGAACCCACCAAATATGGTTGACAAGGAGTCAACAGCGGTAGAGCCTCGTTGCATGTGATGTCATCAATTTGGCTTCTGGAAATTGTTGATAGCGACAAACATAAAGTCATCATAGGCACCAAAAGATTCATCATTTTCACCATTTTCCTTCCAATGTGTTTCTATCTTCTTTGGAGTTTGAAGTTGTGACGACCCCTAAGAAGCATGATTGAATTTATAGCTAAGTTGTCATTTTGTTGTATGGTAAAGGGTAAATGCATAATAATTTTCTTTCATTTTATTTGTTGGGCTGAAATTAAATTTTATTTTCCTTACATGCTCAAACTTATCCATTTGTGCAACATTTCTTATTTATTAGTTCAAACATTATTTTTGTAAAGTCATTTGTTTTGAAAGTTGGTCAAATTGACTGCTGCGAGTTCCAATGATTTAATAATTTGACCATAAAAGAATTGGTTCATATGTATAAATGGGCTAATTGTTGAGCTCAAATGCGGAATAACTTGGACGTGTAAATTAAAATTCTGACGTAAACTGGCGAGCAATAATTCAGACCTAATAAATAGATCTAGCAGCGCAACGGTGTAACTTGTAAAGTGTGCACTGAAATACTTCCCAAGAAAGAGAGGTGGATCACAACGGATCACTTAAATACCAGGTCTTTCCTTAGCCAGAATCTTTCCAGTTACAACACTAATACAAATACACACTTCTCCAGCAATCCAACAATCAGCCACGGAAGGATAATAAAAATAATTCTTTTCTGATGTGGAAGATCAGACTAAACTGCAACCACAGAGCATACTAAGAATTATTTTTAACTGAATAAAATAAGCAGATAAAGAACACCACTATTTAACGTGGAAAAACCTCCAATGTGGAGGAAAAACCACGGGACAAACTCCGAAAAATATTCCACTATATCTCAGGATATTTACAATATCCTTTCAACACTCTATCACACAAGAGGTGTAAAATATAGTGTACACAGTGAGACCCACTCCTATTCAAATATTACAAATTTTGTAATACCAAGAAGAAATAGAGATGATACCCACCCCAGTGTATTTTTCTCACACTCTTAGGATTTACTCAACACTCTATTTTTTTTTTCTCTCACAAACACTCACAATGCTTGATGAAATCTTGTGTGTGTTGCTGCTTGTGCTTCCTTCAATTTCATTTCACGGCTATTTATAGCCAAATAAAGTTACTATTCATTTAATAAAATATTATTAATTGTTTATGAAGTCAAAAAAGGGGGCACCGAAATTGAAAATGTGCTGGACCTCACAATTCTCCCCCTCCAGCACAAAGGTGCACTCTTGGAATCTTCACATGCGATCTATGCCAATCAGCTTGGCACACTGTTGATGTTTTTCTCGTGCAACAACTTTCGTCATCATATCAGCAGGATTTTTATCCGTATGAATCTTATCTAGCTTGAATTCTTGTTCTTCCACTGCCTGACGCAGCCAATGATATCTGATATCAATGTGCTTCGTACGAGAGTGATACATCGCATTCTTACTTAAATCCAATGCGCTTTGGCTATCACAATGGATAACGTACCTTTTCTGCTCAATTCCCAGTTGTTGAAGAAACCTCTTCAACCAAAGCATTTCCTTTCCTGCTTCAGTCATGGCAGCATACTCAGCTTCAGTAGTTGACAAGGCCACACATTTCTGCAATTTGGATTGCCAAGATATAGCTCCCCCTGCAAAGGTAAACACAAGTCCTGAAGTAGATTTTCTACTATCCAGGTCACCTGCCATATCTGCATCTGTGTATCCTTCAAGAACTGGGTTAGGTATTCCAAAGCTCAAGCACATATTAGAACTACCTTTCAGATATCTCAAGATCCACTTCACTGCTTCCCAATGCTCTTTTCCAGGATTGGAAAGATACCTGCTAACAACTCCGACCGCATGAGCTATATCCGGCCTCGTACAAACCATGGCATACATCAAACTCCCGACTGCTGAGGAGTATGGAATACCCGCCATAGCTTCTTTTTCTTCTTGACTTGTGGGACAACTTCTTTTGCTGAGTTTGAAGTGATTTGCCAACGGTGTACTAACTGGTTTAGCCGTCTTCATGTTGAATCTGTCCAGAATCCGATTCACATACCGTTCCTGCGATAACCACAACCTTCTGGATTTTCGGTCTCGCATGATCTGCATGCCCAAAATTTGTTTTGCAGGGCCCAGATCTTTCATATCAAAAAACTTTGACAATTCTTTCTTCAAATCACCAATCAGCTTCACATCTTGTCCCACTATCAACATATCATCTACATACAACAGAAGGATAATGAATTTATCACCTGGACATGTCTTGACAAATACACAATGATCTGCATCAGTCTTGGCATATCCATGACTCGTCATGAACGAGTCAAATTTCTTATACCACTGTCTTGGAGCCTGTTTCAATCCATACAAGCTCTTCTTCAATCTGCAAACCATGTGTTTCTTTCCAGTTTCCTCAAAACCTTCTGGTTGCTCCATGTAGATTTCTTCATCAAGGTCTCCATGAAGAAACGCAGTCTTCACATCTAGTTGTTCAAGCTCCAGATCCAAGCTAGCCACCAATCCGAGTATAACTCGAATAGAGCTCATCTTCACAACTGGAGAGAAAATTTCATCAAAATCTATTCCTCGCTTTTGTCCAAAACCTTTTACAACTAAGCGAGCCTTGTACTTCAACAGCTTGTCACCATCTTTCTTAAGCTTGAACACCCACTTATTTTTCAAGGCTTTTCTGCCTTTAGGGAGCTTGACTAACTCATAAGTATCATTCTTCACCAGAGAATCCATTTCTTCTTGCATGGCTTTCATCCACTGGGATTTATCCTTATGAGTCTGAACTTCTTCAAAGTTTTCTGGCTCCCCCTCTTCAGTGATGGTAATATACGTCGAACTAGGGTACTTTGTAGATGGCTGGTGTGGTCTTCTTGATTTCCGAGGCTGAGGTGGAGCTTCTGGGTTTTCTTGCTCAACACCTTCATCATCACCATCTTCTATTGCTGGCTCATTATCAACCCTAAGTTCTTCATCACACTCTCCCCCTACTGTGGCATTTTTAGGAGGAACAATTGGTGTAAGATCAACCTTACCACCTGGTTCTCTGATTTTTGGTGAAGCAGAATCCAACATAGTTTCTTGCTCATGGAACACTACATCTCTGCTTCTAATAACTTTCCTATTTTCTGGATCCCATAACCTGTAGCCAAATTCCTCATCTCCATAGCCCAGAAATATGCAAGGAATGGCTCTATCATCAAGTTTTTGTCTCTGTTCCTTATTCACATGAGCAAAAGCTTTGCATCCAAACACTTTCAAATGAGAGTATTTAACATCATGTCCGGACCATACTCTCTCAGGGATATCAAAGCCCAAAGGAACAGATGGAGATCGATTAATCAGGTAGCTTGCCGTTAGAACAGCTTCACCCCAGAATGGCTTAGGCAGTTTTGCCATTCTTAACATGCATCTTACTTTCTCCATAATGGTTCTGTTGATTCGTTCGGCCACACCATTATGTTGTGGGGTTCCAGGTACCGTCTTCTCATGCCTGATGCCATGCTCAGCACAATAATTCTTGAATTCATGGGAAGTATATTCACCCCCATTATCCGTGCGAAGACACTTCAAAGGTTTACCAGCCTGTCTCTCTACCATTGCATGAAACCTTTTAAAGCATTGAAAAACTTGGTCCTTCGTTCTTAAGAAGTACACCCACAATTTTCGTGAAGCATCATCGATAAACGTCACGTAATATCTGCTACCACCAAGACTCTCCACTTCCATGGGTCCACATACATCAGAATGAACCATCTCCAAAATATTCTCTTTCAGCTTTGACGTTTTGCTGAAAGACACTCTATGATGCTTGCCGAATAAACAGTGATCACAAGGATTCAACTTTGTATTTTTGGCAAACGGGATAAGGGACTTTCTTGCCAAAATCTGCAATCCTTTTTCACTTATATGAGCCAATCTTTTGTGCCACAAATTTGGCGAAGCATCATCCTCGACTGCATTCAATCCTCCCTTGATCAGCTTTACTTGAGTTTTATACAACGTTAAATTTACTGTGCCTCTAGCAACCAACAACGATCCTTTGGTAAGCCTCCACTTGCCGTTACCAAAATGGCTGTCGTAATCAGCTAGATCCAAAGCATGCACAGAGATCAAATTCAGATGTAGATCTGGCACATGACGCACATCTTTTAGTGTTATTGTGCATCCTGTATTGGTTTGAATGCACACATCACCAATTCCCACAATATCTGCGATACTGCTATTGCCCATCTTTACTTTACCAAAGTCTCCTGCTTTGTACACAGTAAAGAATTCCTTGTGAGAAGTTGCATGATAAGATGCTGCTGAGTCAATGACCCATTCATCACATGAGTCTGTAACTTGACACTCTTCTTCTTCTTCAACAGAGAGTACTACCACATCCCCAGTTGTCACAGGGGATGCAGTATTTTCATCGTCATCCGATCTAGAGTTTCGTCGGTCTTTCTTCTCTCTGTTCTTCCAGGCTTTACAGTTTCTTTTTATGTGCCCTTCTTCACCGCAGTGGTAACACTTGAATTTTCTTCTGGGCTGAGACTGTGACTTATCTCTTGATTTGTTACTTCGTCCTCTACTCTTACTTCTCCCCCTGTTCTCTGTGACAAGGGCATGAGAACTGCTTGCCCCAGAGTCTTTTCTCCTTATTTCTTCATTAAACATGCTGTCTTTGACTTGAGACAAAGTCAGTTTTCCTTCAGGAGCAGAGTTGCTTAATGACACCACCAGAGTCTCCCAGCTGTCTGGTAAAGAACTCAAAAGTAACAGCGCCTGCAATTCTTCATCAAGTTTTATCTCCATGGTAACTAGCTGGTTTACCATGTGTTGGAAATCATTCAAGTGTTCTGCAACTGATCTTCCATCTCGATATTTTAAATTCACCAGCTTCCGAATAACAAAAGCTTTGTTTTGTGCAGTCTTCCTCTGATACATTTGTTCAATTTTGTTCCACAGAGTCTGGGCATTCGTCTCTGTGGCAACATGGTGGAATATGCTGATATCCACCCACTGCCTAATTAAACTGACGGCCTTCCGGTGTATCTTTTTCCAATCCTCATCCT